TAACTACCTCACCTGTTATACAGGCCTTGGTAATTGAGATGTCAACTACCTCACCTGTTATACAGGGCTTGGTAATTGAGATTTTGACTACCTCACCTGTTATACAGGCCTTGGTAATTAAGATGTTAACTACCTCACCTGTTATACAGGTCTTGGTAATTGAGATGTTGACTACCTCACCTGTTATACAGGCCTTGGTAATTGAGATGTTGACTACCTCACCTGTTATACAGGTCTTGGTAATTGAGATGTCAACTACCTCACCTGTTATACAGGCCTTGGTAATTGAGATGTTGACTACCTCACCTGTTATACAGGTCTTGGTAATTGAGATGTAAACTACCTCACCTGTTATACAGGCCTTGGTAATTGAGATGTTGACTACCTCACCTGTTATACAGGTCTTGGTAATTGAGATGTCAACTACCTCACCTGTTATACAGGTCTTGGTAATTGAGATGTTAACTACCTCACCTGTTATACAGGTCTTGGTAATTGAGATGTCAACTACCTCACCTGTTATACAGGCCCTGGTAATTGAGATGTTAACTACCTCACCTGTTATACAGGCCTTGGTAATTGAGATGTCAACTACCTCACCTGTTTTACAGGGCTTGGTAATTGAGATTTTGACTACCTCACCTGTTATACAGGCCTTGGTAATTAAGATGTTAACTACCTCACCTGTTATACAGGTCTTGGTAATTGAGATGTTGACTACCTCACCTGTTATACAGGCCTTGGTAATTAAGATGTTGACTACCTCACCTGTTATACAGGTCTTGGTAATTGAGATGTCAACTACCTCACCTGTTATACAGGCCTTGGTAATTGAGATGTTGACTACCTCACCTGTTATACAGGTCTTGGTAATTGAGATGTAAACTACCTCACCTGTTATACAGGCCTTGGTAATTGAGATGTTGACTACCTCACCTGTTATACAGGTCTTGGTAATTGAGATGTTGACTACCTCACCTGTTATACAGGCCTTGGTAATTGAGATGTCAACTACCTCACCTGTTATACAGGCCTTGGTAATTGAGATGTTGACTACCTCACCTGTTATACAGGTCTTGGTAATTGAGATGTTGACTACCTCACCTGTTATACAGGCCTTGGTAATTGAGATGTCAACTACCTCACCTGTTATACAGGTCTTGGTAATTGAGATGTCAACTACCTCACCTGTTATACAGGCCTTGGTAATTGAGATGTCAACTACCTCACCTGTTATACAGGCCTTGGTAATTGAGATGTCAACTACCTCACCTGTTATACAGGCCTTGGTAATTGAGATGTCAACTACCTCACCTGTTATACACGCCTTGGTAATTGAGATGTCAACTACCTCACCTGTTATACAGGCCTTGGTAATTGAGATGTCAACTACCTCACCTGTTATACATGCCTTGGTAATTGAGATGTCAACTACTTCACCTGTTATACACGCCTTGGTAATTGAGATGTTAACTACCTCACCTGTTATACAGGCCTTGGTAATTGAGATGTCAACTACCTCACCTGTTATACACGCCTTGGTAATTGAGATGTCAACTACCTCACCTGTTATACAGGCCTTGGTAATTGAGATGTCAACTACCTCACGTGTTATACAGGTCTTGGTAATTGAGATGTCAACTACCTCACCTGTTATACAGGTCTTGGTAATTGAGATGTCAACTACCTCACCTGTTATACAGGTCTTGGTAATTGAGATGTCAACTACCTCACCTGTTATACAGGTCTTGGTAATTGAGATGTCAACTACCTCACCTGTTATACACGCCTTGGTAATTGAGATGTCAACTACCTCACCTGTTATACAGGTCTTGGTAATTGAGATGTCAACTACCTCACCTGTTATACAGGTCTTGGTAATTGAGATGTCAACTACCTCACCTGTTATACAGGCCTTGGTAATTGAGATGTCAACTACCTCACCTGTTATACAGGTCTTGGTAATTGAGATGTTAACTACCTCACCTGTTATACAGGCCTTGGTAATTGAGATGTTGACTACCTCACCTGTTATACAGGCCTTGGTAATTGAGATGTCAACTACCTCACCTGTTATACAGGCCTTGGTAATTGAGATGTAAACTACCTCACCTGTTATACAGGCCTTGGTAATTGAGATGTTGACTACCTCACCTGTTATACAGGTCTTGGTAATTGAGATGTCAACTACCTCACCTGTTATACAGGTCTTGGTAATTGAGATGTCAACTACCTCACCTGTTATACAGGCCTTGGTAATTGAGATGTTAACCACCTCACCTGTTATACACGCCTTGGTAATTGAGATGTCAACTACCTCACCTGTTATACAGGCCTTGGTAATTGAGATGTCAACTACCTCACCTGTTATACAGGTCTTGGTAATTGAGATGTCAACTATCTCACCTGTTATACAGGTCTTGGTAATTGAGATGTTAACTACCTCACCTGTTATACAGGCCTTGGTAATTGAGATGTCAACTACCTCACCTGTTATACAGGTCTTGGTAATTGAGATGTCAACTACCTCACCTGTTATACAGGCCTTGGTAATTGAGATGTCAACTACCTCACCTGTTATACAGGTCTTGGTAATTGAGATGTCAACTACCTCACCTGTTATACAGGTCTTGGTAATTGAGATGTCAACTACTTCACCTGTTATACAGGCCTTGGTAATTGAGATGTCAACTACCTCACCTGTTATACAGGCCTTGGTAATTGAGATGTCAACTACCTCACCTGTTATACAGGCCTTGGTAATTGAGATGTTGACTACCTCACTTGTTATACAGGCCTTGGTAATTGAGATGTTGACTACCTCACCTGTTATACAGGCCTTGGTAATTGAGATGTCAACTACCTCACCTGTTATACAGGCCTTGGTAATTGAGATGTCAACTACCTCACCTGTTATACAGGTCTTGGTAATTGAGATGTCAACTACCTCACCTGTTATACAGGTCTTGGTAATTGAGATGTTAACTACCTCACCTGTTATACAGGTCTTGGTAATTGAGATGTCAACTACCTCACCTGTTATACAGGCCTTGGTAATTGAGATGTCAACTACCTCACATGTTATACAGGTCTTGGTAATTGAGATGTCAACTACCTCACCTGTTATACAGGTCTTGGTAATTGAGATGTCAACTACCTCACCTGTTATACACGCCTTGGTAATTCAGATGTTAACTACCTCACCTGTTATACAGGTCTTGGTAATTGAGATGTGACTACCTCACCTGTTATACAGGCCTTGGTAATTGAGATGTCAACTACCTCACCTGTTATACAGGTCTTGGTAATTGAGATGTCAACTACCTCACCTGTTATACAGGTCTTGGTAATTGATATGTCAACTACCTCACCTGTTATACACGCCTTGGTAATTGAGATGTTGACTACCTCACCTGTTATACAGGTCTTGGTAATTGAGATGTCGACTACCTCACCTGTTATACAGGCCTTGGTAATTGAGATGTCAACTACCTCCCCTGTTATACAGGCCTTGGTAATTGAGATGTCAACTACCTCACCTGTTATACAGGTCTTGGTAATTGAGATGTCAACTACCTCACCTGTTATACACGCCTTGGTAATTAAGATGTCAACTACCTCACCTGTTATACACGCCTTGGTAATTCCGATGTTAACTCCCTCACCTGTTATACAGGTCTTGGTAATTGAGATGTTGACTACCTTACCTGTTATACAGGCCTTGGTAATTGAGATGTTAACTACCTCACCTGTTATACAGGCCTTGGTAATTGAGATGTCAACTACCTCACCTGTTATACACGCCTTGGTAATTACGATGTTAACTACCTCACCTGTTATACCGGTCTTGGTAATTGAGATGTTGACTACCTCACCTGTTATACAGGCCTTGGTAATTGAGATGTCAACTACCTCACCTGTTATACAGGTCTTGGTAATTGAGATGTTGACTACCTCACCTGTTATACAGGCCTTGGTAATTGAGATGTTGACTACCTCACCTGTTATACAGCCCTTGGTAATTGAGATGTCAACTACCTCACCTGTTATACAGGCCTTGGTAATTGAGATGTCAACTACCTCACCTGTTATACAGGTCTTGGTAATTGAGATGTCAACTACCTCACCTGTTATACAGGTCTTGGTAATTGAGATGTTAACTACCTCACCTGTTATACAGGTCTTGGTAATTGAGATGTCAACTACCTCACCTGTTATACAGGCCTTGGTAATTGAGATGTCAACTACCTCACATGTTATACAGGTCTTGGTAATTGAGATGTCAACTACCTCACCTGTTATACAGGTCTTGGTAATTGAGATGTCAACTACCTCACCTGTTATACACGCCTTGGTAATTAAGATGTTAACTACCTCACCTGTTATACAGGTCTTGGTAATTGAGATGTTGACTACCTCACCTGTTATACAGGCATTGGTAATTGAGATGTCAACTACCTCACCTGTTATACACGCCTTGGTAATTGAGATGTTGACTACCTCACCTGTTATACAGGTCTTAGTAATTGAGATGTCGACTACCTCACCTGTTATACAGGCCTTGGTAATTGAGATGTCAACTACCTCCCCTGTTATACAGGCCTTGGTAATTGAGATGTCAACTACCTCCCCTGTTATACAGGCCTTGGTAATTGAGATGTCAACTACCTCACCTGTTATACACGCCTTGGTAATTAAGATGTCAACTACCTCACCTGTTATACACGCCTTGGTAATTACGATGTTAACTACCTCACCTGTTATACAGGTCTGGTAATTGAGATGTTGACTACCTTACCTGTTATACATGTCTTGGTAATTGAGATGTTGACAACCTCACCTGTTAGACAGGCCTTGGTAATTGAGATGTCAACTACCTCACCTGTTATACAGGCCTTGGTAATTGAGATGTCAACTACCTCACCTGTTATACAGGTCTTGGTAATTGAGATGTCAACTACCTCACCTGTTATACAGGTCTTGGTAATTGAGATGTTAACTACCTCACCTGTTATACAGGTCTTGGTAATTGAGATGTCAACTACCTCACCTGTTATACAGGTCTTGGTAATTGAGATGTCAACTACCTCACCTGTTATACAGGTCTTGGTAATTGAGATGTTACCTACCTCACCTGTTATACAGGAGGTCGTGGCTTCGATCCCAACCCTGACGCTGCCTACTGCTGTATAGTCGGAGTTGACAATGCCGGTTGTAATTGCCGGTGAAAGTCTCTCGGTGTCTTCGGGTTCTCACTTTCTCGGATTTCTCTCTCAGTTCCTTGGACTTCTCTCCCGGCTTCCAGGGGGGCTCTGCGTCGCGCCACTGGGCTCGCCCCGCATCGCTTCCTTCACCTGCGCCGGCAGCGACTCGAACAGCTCCTCCTCCACCAGCAGCCCCCCGCGCCTCAGCTCCGCGCACTCCCCCAGCTCGGCCGGCAGCTCCGTCAGCCGGTTCCCGACCAGCTCCAAGCGGCGCAGCCTCGACAGCCTCCCGACCAGGCCGCTCAATTCGCGCAGCTCGTTGTTGGCGAGTGCCAGCGTCCGCAACCCCTCGCACCGGAACAACTCGTCAGGCAGACTCCGCAGGGCATTGCCCGACAGACGGAGGGTGCTCAGCCGAGTCAGCTGGCGCACCTCGGGCGGCAGGGCGGCGATGGCGTTGCGGCTCAGGTCGAGGACCTGCAGGCCGTGCAGACGGAACAGCCCAGCGGGCAGCTCGCCCCCGATGAGGTTCCCGTCGAGGAAGAGCGAGCGCAGCGCCAGCGAGCCTGCCCCCCCCGCCGCCGCCAAGCGCGGGACGCTCGCGAGGGCGTTGTCCGAGAGACGCAGGACGGCGAGGCGCTTGCAGGCGGCCGCCGGCAGCATCGCCGCGTCGTCGCCGTCGCCCGGCGAGCGGAGGCCGTTGCGGGAGAGGTCGAGGTCGCTCAGGCGTCCCAGCGCCAGCAGGGGCCGCGCAAGCTCGGCGGGCTCCAGGCCGCAACGCGTCAGCCGCAGCGTCTCCAGGCCGCGCAGCTTGCTCAGGGGCGCCAGCGACTCGAGGCGCGCGCCGCCGTTGTCGAGGGCGAACGCGCGCAGGCCACCGCCGCCGCTGGCGACAGTGGCCAGGCCGGGCGGGAGGCGGGCGACGCTGGTCGTCAGGCGCAGGCCCTGCAGGCGCCTGAGGCCGCCCAGCGGCTTGAGGAGCGCCGGCGTCAGGGGCCCCTCCAGGGACAGCTCCTCCAGGTGGCGCATGTCACGCAGCCAGCCCGGGACCTCCGCCTTGATTGCAAACTTCACCTGCGAGAGGGCGCGGGGGGGGGGGCGGACGGTGAATTTCGGTCCCCGACATTGTGACTTAAATACATTTGGTGGGGGAGGTGACTTTTTGGCGATGTCACGGCCCGGATCAGTGGAGCCGAATGGACCGCTCAGACCGAGCCACCCTCGCGCCCGCCCGCCCATCCACCCACGCACCTCCAGCTGGCGCAGCTCCTCGCTGAGGAAGGCGAGTGCGCGATTGTCGACGCCCACGGTGCAGTTCAGCAGCCGGAGCTTGTGCAGATTCACCATCTGCACCACCGCCGCCCCCAGCGTCACCCGTGCATCGAGTCCAGCGTCAGCACCTTCGGTGGGGGATTGGGTACGAGGGTGAGTAAGTTGGTGGGTGAGTGGGTGTGTGGGTGGGTCAGTGGGTATGAGGGTGAGTGAGTTAGTGGGTGAGTGGCTGTGTAAGTTGGTGGGTGCATGGGTGTGTGGGTGGGTGGGTGTGTGGGTTGGTGAGTGAGTGGGTGTGTGGGTGGGTGTGTGCGTGGGCGGTGTGTTGGCGAGTGAGTGGGTGAGTGAGCAAGTGGGTGGGTGTGTGCGCGAGTGGTGGGTGGGTGTGCGGGTGAGTTGGTGGGTAAGTGGGTGTCTGGGTGAGGTGGGTGGGTGAGTGAATTGGTGGGTGAGTGGGTGTGCGGGTGTGGATGGGTGGGTGCATAGGTGGGTGGGTAAGTGGGTGTGTCCACGGGCACCTGTATCTGAGTGAGCCGGTATGTGTCCACTGGCACCGCTGCCAGCTTGGAGAGATGTAGCTCGCTTTCGCCCTGCGCATTGATCGCCAGCAGCTCCGTCAGATGCGACAGGGTCCACGCTTGATCCACGTTCACCTGCCTCAGCTTATTTTCGCTCACCTGGAGCAGCAGCAGCAGCAACAGCACCAGCAGCCACGCGTGGATGGATTTTATTTGTTTCAGCAGCGAGGGCCCAATGAGCCGTTACGCCCCATGACGGTAAAGACGTTATACACATGTAGTGAGCGACTTCCGAGACGCATCGTGTAGAGGCCTTCTTATTTATTCTCACACTGGACGATACAGAAATATCAACGTCTCTACGTAACTACACATAGCCAACCCTTCTACACAACCCCATCGTCGGCGTCCAACTACACGGTTATTTGACTAGCGCAGCGACAGTGACGATGAGAGCCCTGCAGGAGATCGGCCACGACGAAGAGAGATGACGGCGAGCGGCGATGCAGCCTGGACCCAGGACCAGCAACAGCACCGAACCTCTGGTTCGGTCCCCCTTATATACACCCCGGTGCGGCCAAGCCCCGCCTCCGGCCACGCCCCCTTCCTGAATCTTCAAGCAGGTTCCCGGAGCTTGTGGTCTCACTCAGCCTTTGACCTTCACCACCGATACGCCCCCCTTATAATTAGTCATTACATAACTTGCCCATAAGGTCATTACACATAGACTAACACGGCCCATAGACTCAGACAGAGACCCAAAGACTCAACATCACCCGTATAGCCTCGACGGACTGTTGGGGCAAGTGCCGTTAGCAAGCACCTATGCAGGCCAGAAAGGCGGCACACGAGGGGGTGGGTGGCCAGCACCACGTTCACCACACAGAGACCCACAGTTTGTTGTCCTTACCCCGCATCTCCGATCGGCGCGGTCGGCTCCGTCAAACGTGCGGCGCTCTGCGTGCAGCGCACAGCGCGCTCTGCGAGCGGCTTCTCCTCACCTCGGACAGGAAGACAGAGAACTTGCACGCGTAGCAGGGGTCGTACTTGTCCACTAGGTGAAGGAGGAAGGCAAAGTCGTTGCGCACGTCCGGAATGTCGTCCACCCCCGTCTCCTGGCGCGCCTCCGCGAAGCTGTACTCCTTGAGCCTGCGGTGTCAGCGCCCCCCCCAGCACAGAGAACTCAGCGATCGTCGACCCTCGTCCCAACGCGGAAGATCTCCCACGAAGCCACCGGTAGAACGTTACGATTAGATATACGTAGCGGTGTCGCCGTCCGCGAAAAGCCCGCAGACCAAAGTCAGAAGGCTGCCGCACGGCGATCCGGTGCCACGCAACCGCTCTGCGGCAGCCCGCCGCCCCCCCCTCTCACCTGCCGGTCACCACCCAGTAGAAGACGTAGGCACAGGTGAGCGCGTAGACGCACATCGTGGTCGCGTAGGCCATCCACATCATGCGGAAGATGCGCCACAGCCCGTGGACGCAATAGAAGTCTCCGTAGCCCGTGATGTACTCGTCTTCCACGCAGTGGATGTGGTAGCGCATGTTGGGGCCGGCGTAACCGGTGTACGCAAGCACCACCAGCGCCTGCAGCAAGCGGGCCCCCGTCTGCCACACGTAGAGCCTGTGGAGCCCGCCGCTCGCCTCCGTGTGAGCACGCAGTTTCTTCACCTTCTCGAAGAGAGCCTTGGCCTGCTCGCCCTCCTTCTTGTCCAGGATGCGATCATCCGATGGCGTCCGCCGGCCCTCGTTCTGCTCCGGGGGGGGCCAGTCGGGGGCGGGGCGGCCTCGCCGGGGTCGACGAATCGGATGGAAGGCCGGGGCGGTGCCGGCGGAGACTCAGAAGGCAGTTTCTCCATGGGGAGTTCGTCGGATCTCGGGTCGCTGCGAGCGTGGGACGCAGAGACGCACAGAGACCCATAGAGACTCACAGAGACCCATATAGACTCACAGAGACCCATCGAGACTCACAGAGAACCGCAGAGACCCACAAAGATACACAGAGTCTCACAAAAACCCATAGAGACTCACAGAAACCCGCAGAGACCCACAGAAACCCAGAGACCCATAGTGACTCATGGAGACCCGCAGAGACCTATCAGGACTCACAGAGACCCGTAGAGACCCATAAAGACCCACAGACCCGCAGAGACCACAGAGACCCACAGAAACCCAGAGACCCATACAGACTCAGACACCCACATCGTGACGCACATACACACGCACACCAAGAGCCCCCGTATAGCCTTAACAGACTATAGGGGCAAGTGCTGTTATCGAGTTAGCGAGCACTTATGAAGGCTGGAACTGTACATGAGGGGGTGGGTGGCCAGCACCACGCCTGGCCGCCTTTGTCTCCCCAGTGGCGATGTTTACACACCACACCAAGTACTCATTTGAGGCTGAGTAGACCTAGGAGAGGCCCAAAGCTGGTACAAGTATGAACAGGTTCCATACTGCCCACCAGGGATTATTTGTCTGTCGTGCACAAACGCGCTGTCCAACCAAGTTACTACGTGCCCACTCCGAAGGAACGTGTTTCAGATAATCGTCGCCGGTGTTGGCCATGAGCGGTAATCGAACCTGGGTCGCCGGGATCATAGCGCAGCGTAGCGCTAACCGCTTCACTACCGCTCCCCACACACACACCGCCAACCGTAAGCCAAACTGGTTATGAAAAGCAGGCGGATAGAAAGATGCGTGAACAGGCTCGCTGCCCCAAAACAGAGGTCGCAACCGGGTACCCGATACCCGTACCCTACCCAATACCCGGCTACCCGTACCCGGCCGGGTACAGGTACGGGTAGCAGTTTGCGACCCTGATGCGGCCGGGTACGGGTACGGGTAGGCCGTGAGTCACTGGTGAGTAACCGTTTGTCACTCATTTCGGGTAGGGTACGGGTAGGGAACGGGTACCCGTACCCGGCTCGGTACGGGTACCCATTTGTGACCCTGGTGCGGCCGGGTACGGGTAAGGAATCAAAACCCGTTTGCGACCTCTGCCCCAAACCCACGGAGGGTCCCCCCCGAAAGGAGAAAAGGGGAACTTTTTAAATTTTGTTACTTAAGGGGGGAAGGGATGACAAAGGAAGGAAGGATCCGTGGGCCGTCTCTTAGTAGTCAGCCCCCTTCTAACCTGCAGCTCCCCGCCGTGGCGGGCGGGTGGCGGCTGCAGCGCCGCCGCCGCTGACGCCAACCCGTCCAGCGCGGCTTCGTGCACGGCGTGCGTGGTCCACTGCGAATCCATGCACTTGCCCAGCACGCACACAAAGTGCTCAATCTTGGAGCTCGTCTCCGGGAACCTGAACCAGAAGTTCCTGGTGGCCGTCAGGATGAGCGTGTGCAGCACGACGAGGTGCGGGAAGTATTTGCTGATCCACAGCACCGCGTTGTCGTAGCAGAACTGGTTGATCAACCGGTACTGGTACTGGTCGAAGCCAACCTGGGCGAGTGTGGGAAGGGCAAAATTAACTGGCGTGGCGGTGATGTCACATGCCCTCCGTTGCGGTGACAGAGCTAGCTCAAATCTGGCTTTTGCCTGATGATGCCGGTTGTAATTACTGGCGAAACGTCACCGTACTCAAGATCGTCAATGTTGTGGCTTTGCTCTCCAACACACCGGTGTGCTGTACTAGGATATTACACTATACACTACACTATACATTACACTATAATGTACATTACAATATACACCACACTATAAATTACACTACACTATACATTACACTATACACCACACTATACATTACACTATACACTATACCAGACATGGGCAAAGTACGGCCCGTTGGGCTTTTTAATCCGGCCCGCCGAACTTGTCCAAATATTATTATTATTAAATAAAATTTTACCTTCCTCCTGTAATGCCCCCATTTCCCCAATAGATGGCGCACTTTGACCGGGGGAGAGAGAGAGAATATTCGTATGAGCAATTCATGTTTCTATTGAAAGTAAGTTAACAGTAATATTTGGGTACAGTATTGTTTTTGGAAGCATTCACTGTAATATCGTATGAACGTTTACTTCACCGCATCATCATCGTATGAATGATGCGAGAAGAGATTAACGGGTTCTTATGTTAGCGATTTACGTTCTCGGCGCTTTCGCTCTCTAAATTAGGGGGAGGGGTATGACTACATCACGAAATTAATATCTTACTAGGAATTTTATATAACAAAAGTTATATACATAACTGTTACGCTTTGTGTAATTCAAGAAAACAAACAAAACTTAACTCCGAGTTCTCTCCGAATTTCACGAGTCCGTTCTAGACCCCACAGTTTTTTAAAGAGTTTTAACCACAGAAAACATAATTAAAGTTTGAAAAATCATTAATTATACAAACTTTTCAATTATTTCCTTCTTCACTTCGATTTAAATTTTCTTTAAAAACTTCTTCTTACCAACATTACCACTCATTACCACTTTCTCCGAAGGTAAGTTTGTGAAAGAAAACATGGTACAGATAGCAGACATCTTGTGTCGGGAGATCAAAAGCAAATTTGAAAAAGTCAGTTCATCACGCAGGACTGTGACTCGCCATGTGGAACTTATTGATAAAATATAGTCAGTCAATTAAACAAAAAGTCTGCTTCCTTTGAATTATATTAACTAGCACTGGATGAAAGTACGGACGTAAAAGACACAGCTCAGCTCCTCATTTTTATCCGAGGCATTGAAGACAATTTTGCGATAACAGAGGAGTTTTTCACCATGGAGTCCCTGAAAGGAACAACGCGGGGAGAGGACTTGTATAACCAGGTATCTGCTGTCATCAAAAGAATGACGCTACCTTGGAGTAAACTTGTCAATGTCACAACGGATGGATCGCCAAATTTAAATGTTGGGCTGCTGAAAATAATCCAGGATAAAGTGAAAGAGGAAAACCCTGTCCAGGATCTTATTTTCCTTCAATGCATCATCCATCAGGAATCCCTGTATTGCAGCTTAATCATGTCGTGAATCCAGTCGTAAAACTTATGAACTTTATACGAGCAAGGGGACTTCAGCACCGTCAGTTTATTACCTTCCTGGAGGAAACTGATGCGGATCATCAGGACTTGCTGTACCACTCTCGTGTCCGCTGGTTAAGTTTGGGGAAAGTGTTACAACGAGTGTGGGAGCTGAAAGAAGATGTCATCGCATTTTTGGAGTTGATGGGGAAATCTGACGAATTCCCTGAGCTAAGTGACAAGAACTGGCTTCGTGACTTTGCGTTTGCTGTGGACATATTTTCACACATGAATGAGCTGAATGTGAAACTGCAGGGGAAAGATCAGTTTGTTCACGACATGTACAAACATGTGAAAGCCTTCAAATCCAAGCTCACTTTGTTCTCCGGACAAATTGCGAACAAATCTTTCGCTTATTTCCCCACACTTGCCATGCAGGAAGAGGCACCGCGAAACGCAAAAAAATACAGCAAATCGCTTGAGGACCTGCACGGAGAATTCTGCCGTAGGTTCTCTGATTTCGAAAACATTGAACAGTCACTTCAGCTGGTGTCCTGTCCCCTGTCATAAGACCCTGAAACAGCACCACAGGAGCTGCAGTTGGAACTGATAGATCTTCAGTCTGACTCCGTCCTAAAGGAGTTCAACTCTGTTAAACTAAATGATTTTTATGCTTCACTTAACAGAGCCACGTTTCCAAACCTCCGGAGGACTGCACAGAAGATACTGACTTTGTTTGGCTCCACTTATGTGTGTGAGCAGATATTCAGCGTCATGAACGCCAACAAAGCCCGTCACAGATCAAAGTTAACGGATCAGCACCTCAGATCTATCCAGAGAATTGCCACAACCAAAATAACTCCAGACTTGGATGCACTGGCAAAAATGGGAGATCAACAACACTGTTCCCACTGAAACTGATTATGTGTTGCTGCAGCGAGGTTGGAGCCAAATCTCCATCACACAGCCTGCGTGGCTGCTCTCACCTGTTAATGTAGATAATAAAGAAGTTCAAGTGAGGTAATTGGTTTGGGCGCAGGCCTCAGATGTTTTCATGATGTTTGATCAGTCACGTTACGACATGTTTTTGTATTGTTCATGTTCGTGCAATTTGTTAAATTGCCTTGCAAATAAATGCTTTGCTACCTGTTAAAGGCCAAATCCTTTCATGTAATCAGTTTACATGTCATTTATATTAGTTCACACAAACACTCCATCCATCTGTTCCTGGCCCGGCCCCTCTGTCAAATTTTAGAACCCATTGTGGCCCGCGAGTGAAAAAGTATGCCCACCCCTGCACTATACTGTACATTACACTATTCCTCGGGCAATTGCCGGTGGCGCAGCCGGCCTTACCGCTGGCAACCAGCGGTTCCCCCCCCCCGCATGGTCGTGTCGAGCCGGCCCGAGGGGGGACCTCACCGTGTGGGCCCTGGGGTTGGCCACGAGCTTCCTCAGCACGGTCTCGTTCCACTCCTTCAGATCCACGTCGAAGCCTCTCGGCACCGGCACACACAGAATGCGCTCGTTCATGTTCTGGGCGGAGGTGGGGGAAGTGGGTACCACGTGATCATGACGTGCGCCGTGTGGTCTCCTTGAAGACGTCGCTCCACTCAGGTTCACTTTGCGCGATTCCCGGTGTGTACGGAGGGGGAGGCAACCCATATCGACCCAAGATGTGCTCTCTAGCCAGCGCTTTGAGTGAGCTCGTACGTCGAGTTGGAACCCACGACCTCCTGCGTACCAGGCGAGGTAGTTAACATCTCCCGGCCACTGTGATGATGAGACACACGCGAAGTCCAAATATGCAGCAGGGGTCGGGATGGAACCTATGGCCTCCTGCGTACCAGGCGAGGTCGTCAACATCTCTGCAATGTTATCCATAGCATCCATAATCAACGTTTTTGGGTTTCGATCGCGTTATTTATAAATGTGTCGTAACCCTCCACCACCCGACACGGCCAATCAGTAAAAAAGTGTCACGTTAACAAAAGACAAAAAGTTCACTGCTTTAGCCCACCGGTGTGTTGAAGCGTGAAACCACAACATTTACAATTTGAGTACGACGTTTCGCTGGTAATTGCATCCAGCATCATCGGGCAATTCGCCAGAATGGTGAGGCTCTGCTGTGTCTCCCGTTCTTATATAGAGCAGCAGCAGGGTGACGTCATCATTAACTCATCAGGTGCAAAGATTTGAGGGGAGGGGTTATTGTAATTATATACTAGATTGTTAATCAGGCTATTGTTATGATGCGAGTTGTAGATTAGTAATCATTTGGAATGTGTTTTATTGTGATTATGCTACATTAGTAATCAGTTAGTGTTTGTTTCCCTTATAAGGAATTGTAATGTATCTTATTTAATAATACGCCTCTAGGCCGCACTAAGCCTGTAGCTGTCTGAGCGATTAAAGTTATTTCTGTTTCTCTCAATTTCAATGGATTCTCTAATTAGTATTTGCCAGTAGTAACTAGTTTTACACAACACGTTGTCAAAATTAATTGAGTGTCCCTGTTGGCATGCATGTTCTGCCACTGCCGACAGTTGTGTTTGCGATAGTTTAATATTTCTCTGGTGTTCTTTTAGTCTTATACTAACGTTATGCCCTGTCTGTCCAATATAGCATCTGCCACATACACAATTAATCCGATATACACCTGCTGTTGATAATTTAGGTAATTCGTCTTTAGTGCACGTTACTAGTTGTTGAATTTTGTGTACTGTACCAAATCTTACTGTAATGGTTTGCTTTTGCAAAACACGGGCTAATTTGTCAGTTACTCCTGAGATAAATGGTATTTTTAAATCCTTTATATTATGTTCGCATGCTTGCTTGCTTGCGTGCTTGCTTGCTTACGACCGTGCAAATCTTTCAGTCGTTTTTTAACCCACTTCCCGTGATCCAATCGAGCTGACATTTTCCACACAGAATCGTTGTGCCAGACAATTAATGTTCGTGAAAAAAAATTCCCAAAATGTTACACTTTTTAGGCAAAAAAAATTATTTTACATATATTCAAATAGAACTCATTCAACGCTTTGGCTGAACGTCACAGTATAAGAGCCCAGAGCGTAACCCCTCCACAGGCCGTGGCGGAGTAGCGCAGTTGGTAGCGCCCTCGCTTCCCATGCCAAAGGTCGCGGGATCGATCCCCGCGTCCTTCACAGGCGAATATATTTTTAAATCCTTTATATTAAGTTCGCTGCCATGCATATAAAGGATTTATAGTGAAAAACTTTGTTTTTACGGGTTATACTTATTATTGTTTTAATAATCTGATCGCTTTCAGCAGTATTGCTTTGCGATCGTGATTTGGCATTTAGTGCTCTGTTAATTTGAGCATTATTGTAGCCATTCTGTCTTAGTGCTTCTTTAACATGTTTAATCTCTCTCACTAGACTTTCACCATCTGACACTGTTTTAGCCCGATGTATGAGCGTCTTGATAAGAGAGGATTTCTGAGCTGGGTGATGATGCGCATCTGCATTCAGGTAGGCATCAGTGTGCGTTTGCTTTCTGTAAACGCTGTGTGTTATTTTACCATTTAGGCCATGCCCAAGTAAAATATCCAGGAACGGGAGTGTGTTATTCACCTCCATTTCCATGGTGAACTGAATGGCCGGGTTTTGGGCATTGAGATGATTTAGAAAATCGTTAAGTGTATCTTTACCATGTGGCCAGACAACCAAAGTGTCATCCACATATCTAAACCAAAAGGATGGTTTTAATGTGCTCGAGGCAAGTGTTCTGGTTTCAAAGTTTTCCATGTACAAATTTGCTATAGCAGGAGATAAAGGAGAGCCCATTGCTGCTCCCTCCCTTTGTTTAAAGAATTCACCTCTCCATAAGAAGTAAGTGTTATTTAAACAATGGTCAGTGAGTTTCGGAATATCTTTTGGTAAACCTGTATTCTTTACCAGTGTATCAAGTAATTTAAGCGACTCGCTCACTGGAACCTTAGTGAATAGCGAAATCACATCAAAACTCACCAAAATATCATTAGGGTTAAGTTTAATATGTTTGATCATATTCACAAGATGTTCTGAATTTCTTATGAATGATGATGTCCTACCGATGTAGGGCTGTATTTGCTTAGTTACATATTTTGCTAATTTATATGTGGCAAAGCCAATTGTACTGACTATGGGTCGTAAAGGGATGCCGATTTTATGGATCTTTGGTAGCCCATACAGTCTAGGTGGTTTTGAAGCCCTTGGCTTAATTAGGAATTGCTCATTTTTTGGGATTAATGAATTTGCAATGATCGCAGTAGTCTTACGTTCCAAAGTATTAGTTGGATCTCGTTAAATTTTAATGTAGGTACTTTCCTCTAATAAATCTTTAATTTTATTATCATAATCAGCTCGTGACATCACTACAGTAGTGTGGCCCTTATCAGCTGCTAGGATTTGAATATCTTTATTTAGACGAAGCTCTCTTAAGGCTTTTGCCTCGTTCGAGCTAATATTTACTATTGGTACTTTACTATTCTCAATTATTTTGGCAACCTCGTGTCTAGTCATCTCTGCCTCATTATGTGGAAGGAGTCTTACTGCTGATTCTACCTCAGCAATTAGCTAATCCACTTGAATTGTGCGTGGGGTAACGGCAAAGTATATCATTACAATAACCCCCCACCCTCAAATCTTTGCACCTGATGAGTTAATGATGACGTCACCCTGCTGCTGCTCTATATAAGAATGGGAGACACAGCAGAGCCTCACCATTCTGGCGAATTGCCCGATGATGCTGGATGCAAATACCAGCGAAACGTCGTACTCAAATTGTAAATGTTGTGGTTTCACGCTTCAACACACCGGTGGGCTAAAGCAGTGAACTATTTGTCTTTTGTCAACGTGACACTTTTTTACTGATTGGCCGTGTCGGGTGGTGGAGGGTTACGACACATTTATAAATAACGCGATCTAAACCCAAAAACGTTGATTATGAATATTGGTCGTGAAAGCCTATGTGTTATCCATAGCATGGCGGCGACATTGATGAATGTGCGTGGGGACTCTGTAGAGTCTAGAGCAGGGGTGTCCAAACTTTTTGCAAAGAGGGCCAAATTTGATAAAGTGAAGATGCCCGGGGGCCAATAGTTCCTTCTGACATTTTTTAACCACAAATGTTACTTGAAAATACACACTGTTTTATAAAAAAAAAAATTGTCACAATTACCTTTATTTTTCAATGACAATGTAACCAAATATAAGCCACTCAGGCAGACGTGAACTCCTCTAAAAACACAATTCTGCCTTTCATTCAGTCAGGTAACATTGAACAAACTGTATAGAATACCTTAAATTTCCATGAGTTAAATATCTGTGCCTCATGAACATTTTAAACATGAGCTATAAGTAATGGAAAGTGGTCTGTTATCATTAAACTTTAAAACAAGCGAATTTTGCCCTTGTCTTTTACAAGATCTTTCAGAAAGCAATAGTTTGTGTCACATCTACAGGTACATAACATCAACAGTTATAACCAAATCTTATTCAAGAGTTTAATAAAACAAGTGCTATAAGTCCAAGTGCATTTGTGTGCTTTAGGCTTTTCACTGTTAATAGTGACAGATGTTACCGTTCAAAACACTCAATTTCAGATTGATCAAGGAACAGATAACTTGCTGACACTAATGAGAAGGGTGATACTGAGATCTAGATTTCAGTAAAGAGACCAGGTCTGGCTAGAGGGCAGTGGTTGAGATGCGTAAAATGCCACGCAAATGGGAGTCGCTCTTCCTTGACCTCAATCGGTTCTTGCTTAAGTTCATGACTGAGAATGTTTGCTCACACAAATATGTGGAGCCGAATAAGCTCAGCATTTTCTTAGCGAATGACCGCATTTCTTTTTTTGCAGTCGCCATGGCAGAAATGACTCGAGAAGGGTTTGCGGCACGGATGCAGAGCCAGATAGAATTAGAATGGTGCTGCCACCGTGTGGTGAAAGGAAGAATAACATCTTTAAAGTTTTATAATTTATAAGACCGAAGCTGCGGGCCGTGTGAAATCTGACCGCGAGCCGTGATTGGCCCGCGGGCCGGACTTTGGACATGTCTGGTCTAGAGTCTAGAGCGTTGGAACGACGTACCTGCAGCATCCCGGCAAAGATGCCTATCATGAACATGGGCACGGAGAGCATGTCGCACAACACGTCCCACCAGGGCTGAAGGATCTTGAGGTCCTGGTGACCCTCCAATGAGAAGGAGGAGGTCAGGGCTCCGATGGGAATCATGACTCGAGCCGAGACTGCACACAGGCAGACACACACGCAGACACACACAGAGGCGCACACACACGCAGACACACACACAGACATACACAGACATACACACACAAGCAGACACACACAGGCAGACACAGACACACACACAGGCAGACACACACAGGCAGACACACACACAGGCAGACACACACAGACAGACACACACACAGGCAGACACACACAGACAGACACACACACAGGCAGACACACACAGGCAGACACACAGGCAGACACACACAGGCAGACACACACACAAGCAGACACACACACAAACACAGGCAGACACACACACACAGAGGGTCACACACAGGCAACAAAGACGCACACAGAGACACACACACAGGCAGACACAATACAAATGTCTCCCCGTGTAGCTCCTCTGACAGGCTGTGTGAGGCTTACAGAGGCGCGTGTGAGATTGGCTCCACTCTCTCTCACCGCCCTTGTTTTATTATAGTAGTAGTTGATATTACAGTATTAGTTAGTATAGCAGTACATGTTTTATTACTATAGTAGTAGTTGTTTGTTATTTTATTGATGTTATTAGTGTTATAGTTGTGATTATAGATGTTGTAGTTATTATAGTAGTAGTTGATATTACAGTATTAGTTAGTATAGCAGTACATGTTTTATTACTATAGTAGTAGTTGTTTGTTATTTTATTGATGTTATTAGTGTTATAGTTGTGATTATAGATGTTGTAGTTGTTATTATAGTAGTAGTTGATATTACAGTATTAGTTAGTAGAGCCGTACATGTTTTATTACTATAGTAGTAGTTGTTTGTTTTCTTGGTTCTTTCGGTAAAGTCACGTAGAAGGGAAGTAATAAAATAATAAAAATAAAACATAATAAATAATAAAACAATTCTCACGACGTTTCGGCCACAACGCAAGCAGCCGTCCTCAGGCGAAGAATGAAGCACCACCATTCTTCGCCTGAGGACGGCTGCTTGCGTTGTGGCCGAAACGTCGTGAGAATTGTTTTATTATGTTTTATTTTTATTATTTTATTACTTCCCTTCTACGTGACTTTACCGAAAGAACCAAGAAGATGAATCCCTGCAGTCACGAAAGCTTTAAATCGAAATTTAGTTGTTTGTTATTTTATTGATGTTAATGATAGTTATAGTTGTGATTATATGTTGTGGTTGTTATTATAGTAGTAGTTGATATTACAGTACTAGTTATTATATCAGTTCATGTTTGTATTACTATAGTAGTAGTTTATGTAATGTTATTACTTGTGTTACAGTTGTGATTATAGATGTTGTAGTAGTTATTATAGTAGTTGATATTACAGTATTAAGTTATTATAGCCGTTCGTGTTTTTATTACTATAGTAGTTGTTTATGTTATTTTATTGATGTTATTAGTGTTATAGTTGTGATTATAGATGTTGTGGTTATTATAGTAGTTACAGTATTAGTTATTACAGCAGTTCATGTTTTTATTACTATAGTAGTAGTAATTGTTTCTTTTATTGATGTTATTATTAGTGTTATAATTATTATAGCTGTTGTAGTTGTTATTATAGTAATGATTATAGACGTGGGAGATGTTATTATAGTCGTTATACTTGTGATTATAGATGTTGTGGTAGTGCTGGTCGTTAGGCTCCACTTCTCCCGCCAAATCGCGACGGTTTGTTGGTGGCGGTTGAGGGAGAGGGCCGCGTGGGCGAAACCAACTCGAGCGGCGTGCGCGGGAGGGGTGAATTCAATCGGCGAACTTAAATTGTTTTAATTTAAGGGGGTAGACAGCAAACGCCACCTTCCACTAACGCTAGCGATCCGTCTTGGTTCTTGTCGCTATGGATGAAACAATAAAACTATAAACAAGTTCGCTACATTTTTTCAGCGCGTCTTGAGTTGATGCTTTTCATCCACCCCCTCCATACTTGGTATAGTCTGAAACGCAGCCGCGCCTTATCTAGTCTATGCTATTAACCATGGGCCTTACTTCGGGCTATGAAATAAAGTTCAATGTCACGTGCAACGGAGCTGACCAATTAAAAAAAGCCCGCGAAATGTCAACACCACGTGGCTCTTGGGGTGGAAACGGCCATCTTGGTAAGGGAGAGGCCCCCACACCCCCTATCCAAAATGGCCGCCCACGTTGTTTGCTTGTGGGGGTAACCTCTGATAACCAATAGCGACTATTCACACTCGACTATTGCGGAGCTGTCGAACCCCATCACGGTTTTACCCCGTCGTGGTCTTTGCACAGGCAAATTGAGTTCTTAGGTCCGTACGGGCGTACAAAAAAATGTGTCTATTTGTGTTTCTCCCTTGTGATGGGATTATAAGGGGTTGACAGCTGTGTAGTGTATAGTGTAGTATAATGTATAGGATGAACGTTGACATTTCTAAGGGCATGGGGGTGACCAAAAAGGCCTGAATTGGTCTGTGATCAAGTAGGGCACTGATAAAGGGGTTGACAGGTATGATTACAGACAGAGACCCATAGAGACCTAAACGAGATAGATAGAGACCCAAGAGAGATACATGGAGACCCACACAGATACATAGATATAGCATACTGTCAACCCATACGGTTTACTCGTATTATTGTACAGGGACATTGAGTAACATAATGTGCCTATTTGTTTGTGTTTCTCCCTTGTGATGGGACTTTGCAGGATGAACGTTGATATGTAAAAGGGGCACGGGGTGATCAGTAAGTTCTGAATTGGTCTGTAATAAGGTAGGGCACTGATAAGGGGTTGACAGTTATGCTACTGACACTAACAGTGTGAATATGCATACGTAGCCATTCATAGTGTAGTTGTATCTTCTTGGTTCTTTCGGTAAAGTCATGTAGAAGGGAAGTAATGAAACAATACAAATAAAACATAAAAATAATTCTCACGACGTTTCGGCCACAATGCAAGCAGCCGTCCTAAGGTGAAAACCAGGTCTGTCGAGGCGACAGCGTCTGAATGAAACAGCACCATGCTTGGAGCATATATTTAAGCTGGGTTGGAAGGGGGGGGGGGGGGGAAGGGCGCCTTGACAAAAGATTTTGCATATCAAGAGGAACTTAGCATATTTATGGGAAATGCAGGAATGTGATTAGTACTACTTATGACCGTGCATTATGCAGGATTAGCAGCATCAAAGGGAGGGGATATGGGAAATGCAGGTATGTGATTAGTACTACTTATGCCCGTGCATTATGCAGGATTAGCAGCATCAAAGGGAGGGGATAGGGGTAGCATTAATAAAGGGAAGGAGTGTTAATAGTATGTAGCTGCAGTTACTAAAACCACCACGTAAACAACTAAAGTATAAATTTCGATTTAAAGCTTTCGTGACTGCAGGGATTCATCTTCTTGGTTCTTTCGGTAAAGTCACGTAGAAGGGAAGTAATAAAATAATAAAAATAAAACATAATAAAATTATTCTCACGACGTTTCGGCCACAACGCAAGTATCCGTCCTCAGGTGAAAACCAGGTCTGTCGAGGCGACAGCGTCTGAATGAAACAGCACACGCGCTTGGAGCATGTATATAAGCTGGGTTGGAAGGGGGGAAGAGGAAGAAAGGGGGAGCCTTGAAAAAAGAATATGCATATCAAGAGGAATTTAGCATATTTATGGGAAATGCAGGTATGTGATTAGTACTGCATATGCCCGTGCATTATGCAGGATTAGCAGCATCAAAGGGAGGGGATAGGGGTAGCATTAATGAAGGGAAGGAGTGTTAATAGTATGTAGCTGCAGTAACTAAAACCACCACGTAAACAACTAAAGTATAAACTACATATTATCATCAGTATTCATAATCAACGTTTTTGGGTTTAGATCGCGTTATTTATTTAAACCCAAAAACGTTGATTATGAATAACATTGGTCGCGAAAGCCTACGTGTTAAACTATCATCAGTATACTAAATATACTCTACAATAAGCTGAGTTACTAACAGTAAGTAATACATTACAATTGTACGTCATAAAAATATATATATTATGCTTCCATCTAAACTTTATTCTCTTACATCACACGAGTCTACACCGTACTATATACTGCCAGAGACAAACCCAACATTAAATTATATACTGTATTGCTATAAATCTTATACATTGTAATATTAAACTATGTATTATTCTACCCACCCTAATGTATATCACACTGCTGTATATTCACTATACAATTACGATACTATATATTACTTTGTACATTGTATTAAGCATATACATTTTATACTATTTGTCATTATACACTGTACCATTGACCGTCGTGTGAAAGATACTAAGAGGAAGCAACGAAATATGTCAATGGGAGAGTAGTCATGGGAAACTTGCAGCGGAGCAAAGAATCCATTCCCTGCGGAAAATACAATGCCAGTGATTGGAACGCGGTCTGAAAGTCACCGTAAACGTGAACACAATCAGTTAAGATTCGAAAGGGTTTATTACGTCCTTCCAATGATTGCTAAGCCAGAATCCATCTTCTCGGTTGAAATTGTCTCTGTGTTTGTATATGTGGATTGCCTCATGAACGAATCTCTCATGGTAGACAGATGGCTTGCAGAGAACCTCTGTCTTGGATAAGTCAATATCATGTGAGCCCACTGAATTGTAACAGTGATCTGCCACGGCCGAGGTGTTTGTCCTACCGTGTTACTGCATGTCTGGAACCACATCTTTTACAGACGGGACAAGATCACGGATTTTATTTACTGTGTTGAATCGGACCTGGATCTTGTGTTTTATCAGGATTTTGGAGATCTTTTTGTGACCCCAGCAATGTAGGGTAAGGTGATGGTCTTGAAAGGCTCCTCAACAGGATCCTTCTTGATGGTTGGAGTGATGGCTTTGCGGATTGTGTAGTCGGAATAACCATTAGCCTTAAGAGCTTGGCGTACGTGTTTGAGTTCACTGGCAATGTGTTCCTGGTCGGATATGCATTGGGCTCTATGGTATAGAGTCTTGATGAGGGAATTCTTCTGGGATGGATGGTGGTGGGAATACGGTTTTAGGTAAGCATCCGTATGGGTGGCTTTCCTGTAGACAGAGTGGCTCATTGAACCATCAGGTCTCCTTTTAATTAGGACATCCAAAAAGGGTAGCTTGCCATCTTTTTCGACTTCCATGGTGAATCTGATGGCTGGGTGTATGGAATTGATGTGGTCGAGAAATTGGTCTAGAGCAGGTCGGCCATGTGGCCAGATGACAAACGTGTCATCTACGTACCTCTTCCACAAGGACGGGCGTAGAGTAGATGCCTGGATGGCGTCCGTCTCAAATATTTCCATGAAAATATTGGCTACAACCGGATATAAGGGAGAACCCATTGGGTACCTTCAGTTTTTTTGTTGTAAATGATGGTGAATATGTATGTCTTAGCATTTGCTATTCAAATATGAAATAATTATTCTTTATTAGATGTTAAATAATGTTGAAGCCAGAGAACATCCCTGTCGCACATACATACGCGCACACGTACACACACTCTCAGCGATGATGTTAAGACTCATTACAGCTGGCTCCGCCAAACCAAATGGTTGGGTGGTTCGTATCGCCAGTGCAAGTCGGCGTTGTCAAGCTGTTATTAAAAGTTTTTTTTTCTCACGGAATGTGTTATCTCCG